CATACATACATATATAAAATATATGAATATATTTGAATATATATCCTTATATAATATATTCTAATATAATTATATTTAAATTTTAATGTAACATTATATATACATTACACACACATATATACACACACATATATAAACACACACACATATATATATACACACACACACATATATATATACATGAGAACACAAATTTCCACATATTTTTGGTTGACAAGACTCAGTAGAGTACCATTTTTGGTAATAATAGGTCCACTATTGAGAAGAATGGAATTCTTCTGAGGTGAGATAAGATTTCATGTAATTCGTATTTCAAAGTAGTGTTCTGTCTTGTTAGATTGATTGCGAATCAGTCAAAGCCACTGTGAGGTCACCGGCCATCGGAAAACAAGGGTGGGCAATCATCTGCTGACCCCAACCTAGAATCAATCTAGGAGAATCCTACTGATAGTGATCTCAGATGACACTTACTGAATAGTGACCAGGCTAAGCGTTCTGCTTCTGTTGTCTCACTGGGTCCTTCAGTCACACGGTGGCAGAACTTATTAGTGTTTTTCTTTTTTCTTTTTTCCTTTTATTAGAAGGAAAAGAAGGGGAATGACAGGGACGAGCACTTGCTTGAGGCTGTGCCAATATAATCGGCAGTAGGGTTTATGCTCGGGTCTGTCTGAATTCAGGGTACAGGCTTGTGGTCACCAGGCAAAGACACCAATGTGAGAAATCGTTGAGAAATGACAGTGACGATGACAGAGGCCTTGGTGAAGTGCTGGGCTTCTGTAAACACCCCCTGTTTTAATTTTGATTTCCTCTTCCATCTGCATGTCTCTCTGAATGATTGCCATCATTACTCTGTAAGCAGAAAAGGGTTGGTGGTATCTATTTAGGAATATTGGGGTGGTGAGAAATCTGGGAGGGAGGGAAACGGATCCAGATTAAGCACCCCTCATCTGAAAATCTGAAATTGAAAATACTCCAAAACCCCAAACCCCAAGCCCGACATGACACAAAGCCTCAGAGTCTCCGATCAGAAATGCAGAAATGCAGCTCCGCCGGGCAAGTCTATGCAGATGTTTTCAAACCGGAAACCTCCCAGATCTCAAACACCGCTGGGTCTGATCATGTGAGATAGGGAACCCTCCTCCTCTGTAGTAAGCCAAGGTAGAGAAAGAACCCCATGGAATCAGAAATATGGTATCAGCCTCAATCAAGAAATCACTGGGGCTGGGTGTGGTGGTGCACACCTGCAGTCCCAACACTGGCAGAATCTCAAGTTTGAGCCCAGCATAAAGGTTAGCAAAACTCTCTCTCTAAATAAAAAACTAAAAGAGCTGCATGTATATCTCAGTGGTGGAATAGCTCACCACACATGTGCTTGGGTGCTCTGTTCAATCTCTGTACCTAAAAAAAAGAAAAAGAAGGAAAGAAAAGAAGAGAAGAAAATCAAATTTCACCCAAAGATCTGATAGACAAGCCGTGACCCTGAACCCTGGACAATTCAGGATGCTCTGTAGTTTCTCTTCATTTAATTTTTTTTTTTTCTTTATCCTACTACCTGCTTCTTTCTCATCTATTCTTCCACTTTCTGGCGTTCTTTCCAATAACTGTGCTGGTCTAAAGCCCCTCTCAGATGGCTTCTGAGGTCTACACTGTCCATGCCAGAGCACAGGCGCCTTCCAGATGACTTAGAAGACCCAGGTGTGTCTGATCCAAGGTGCACTAGCTTGGCTGGGCTGGGCGGTGGCCACCAGCAGCTCAGAGGGACCCTGCACTTAAGTGGATGTGTGCCAGCTCGGGCACACCCTAGGACCTGCTGGGCCACATACCTAACTGACTAGCCAGCAGCGGTGAATAGGTCATTTGAGCACAGCCCAAGCCAAAAGACAACTTTTCCCCCAGACCCTTTGTGGGAGGTCACACGATTCTAGCAGACCCTTGCATTATTAGGAGCAGCTCCAAATTTGACAAGTAAAATGCTGAGACTATTTTCCTTAGGAATCCACATTTTTTTTTCAGTGGTGCAATTGAACCCAGGGCCTTTGCAGTGAGCTGCATCCCTCCCTTTAAAAAGATTTTTTTAAAATTTTGAGATAGGGTCTCGCCAAGCTGCCCAAGTGGGACGCAGACTTGGGATCCTCCTGCCTCAGCTTCTCAGAGTGCTAATGTATGTTCTACTGTGCTTGGCTGAAACCTACAATTTATGTAGTTATAGCATGATACAGGTGAAGTACACACTTGTTTTCAGGGATCTTGTGTGGGAAAGCCTTCTTCCACAAATAATTTTTTTTTTTTTTTTACTGGCCTCTTGCTGTTCAAAATTCTGCAGCCATAGATTTATTCTTTTGGCAAAGCACTGCCCTTCTCAGATTCTTCTTCCTAAAAGAGGGAGTCTCTTGGGGAGGTAGCACAAGAAATTACTCTGGTATGAACAGCTGTTAGATATAGTTTTAATTTTCTTTTTTTTTTTTTGAGACAGGGTCTGGCTTGCTGTGTAGTCCAGGCTGGCCCTGGACTCACTAAATAGCCCAGGATGACCTCAGACTCATGATCTCCTGCCTCAGTTTCCTGAGTGCTAAGATAATAGGTGTGAGCCCCCACACTTGGCGAAAAATGTGTTTTTTGACAGATAAGCAGATGTATTTGTAGAACATTGTGTGTGTGTGTGCGTGTGCGTGTGCGTGTGCGTGTGTGTGTGTGTGTGCTCACATGTGCATGTCTTAGGGATTGAGCCCAGGATCTGGAGCACGCTAAGCATGTGTTCTACTGCTGAGCTACATTCCCAGATAGAGATATATTTTCATCAAAGGGGAGATGGCATCTTGGGCAAGGGCATTTGAGGAGACAAGAAAGAAATTAAGAAATGTGAGAAGCCAGGCACACATCTCTAATCCCAGCACTTGGGAGGCTGAGGCAGGAGGATTGCTGCAAGTTCAAGGTCAGCCTGGGCTACATACTGAGTTCAAGGCCAGCCTGAACTACATAGAGAGATCCTGCCTCAAAAAAACAGGAAAAATAGGTAGATAGATAAGTGAGGGGAACGAAGATAAGGCCAAGCAGTTTATCAAGTGCTTCCAACATGCCAGGCATTTTTCTGAATGCTCCACTGGATTAATTTAATTGCCTAACAGCCCTGCGAAATAGATACTGTTACCAACCCCATTTGATAGATGAGGAAATGGAAGCTAGGATGGGGTAAGTGCCCAACGCCACACAGCTGGTAAGTGGGGTCCAAAGCTACTTGTCATTATTTCTTATCTTTTAGTATGATAAAAAAAATGGAATGTTTAAATTTTTTGAAAAACTGTATTACAGTAAAAAACATTGCCATTAATCCTCTTAAGAACTCCCCCTTGCTTCAAGCGTACTTAGCCCTTTATCCTTGCTGCTTTCTGAAGCAGTTCTGGGAGTCTTTTGTGAGTGTCTAATTTAGTTGTGCTATTGTGGCTGCCTAGGTGTTCAACAGTTAAGGAGGGACACCTTTTAATCCATTCTGAGATTGGTGGAAATCTGTGTTCCGAAATGCCACCAAGAGCTGACCTCGCAAAGTTGTGCTATTGAATTGATACAAAACATTTACATTTCCTGGCCATTCTGACTTTCAGGAAGAGCCAGAAGCCCGATGGTGCCAGATCTGGTGAGTAAGGCTGATGAGGACACAGTAATGTTTTTATGGGCCTGCCTTTCTGTTGCATGACACGCAGCAGCAGCATTCGCTGTAGATTTGATCATCCCTTGTAAAGACACTCATGAACAAGGACTGCCAGAGCTGCTTCAGAAAGTGGAGCGAACAGTGGGATCAGTGTGTTTGAAGTGAGGCAGAGTATTTTGAGGGGGGTTAATGACAATGTGTCTTTTACTGTAATTTCATTTAAACACACTCTATTTCTTGATCATATATTATGTTGGGGGTCCCCCAGGTGCCATGATTCTGAAGCAGGACTCACAGACTTTAGCAGGCGTCATCATTTATTACAGCAATAGCAAAATCAGCAAAGGGAAAAAGCATTTGCGATGAAGTCCAGGGGAAACAAAGCAGGAACTTGTACAAGTCACCTCCTCATGGGGTTTCACAGGACACTGTAGCTCCCCAGCAATTAGTATGGTGACACATGGCAGAGATCTGCCAGGGAAATTTATTAGAGTTCAGAGCCATGGTCTTTGTTGTTGTGTGTGGTTTTTTTTTTTTTAAACTGAAAGCTGGTCTGTCTACCAAAATTCGAGATTCCCTGGAAGGAAAGGTGTTCAGCAGTTAATGAGGGAAACCTTTTAATCCATTCTGAGATTGGTGGAAATCTATGTTCCTAAATGCCACCAAGAGCTGACCTCGCAATAAGCAGGCCTGAACAGGGCACCAGACTCAGGCTTGCTGTGTTAGTCTATTCTTCCCAGATATATTTTCTACTCTGTGATGGTTTTGTTTTGTTTTGTTTTTCTCCTTGCAGTACTGGGGATTGAACCCAGTTTTTGTTTTTGTTTTTTTCACTGAGTTATATCCAGAGCCCTTTAAAAAATACTTTATTCTGAGACAAGGTCTCACTAAGTCACTAAGTTATTTAAAGTAGGCTTGAACTTGTGACTCTCCTGCCTCAGCCTCCAAGAAGTGCTGGGATTGTGGCGTGCACCTCTACCCCTGGTTCTGTGGTGTTTTTAAAAAGCAGCAATGTGGGCTGGGGATTTAGCTCAGCGGCACAGCGCCTGCCTGGCAAGTGCTAGGTAGTGAGTTCGATTCCCGGTACCGGAAAAAACAAAAACTAAAAAAATAAAAAGCAGCAATTTTTATTTTTCTCATTCTGTAAAGATCTATTCCCCCGATTAATCTCACAGGATCTTCTGGGAGCAAATGAGAGAATGTGTCAGGGTACTCCATGCACTCGTAGCAGTGTCTGATAGATGCTGCTCTCCTTGCTGCTGCTTCCCGACCTGTCAGGTATCTGTTGGAACTGGTCAGGAGCTCAGGCGAATGCATGAATAATTCACACCACCCTGTCCCCTATCCTTCCCAGGTGGCCCTGACCACATTGAGGTCAACATCTCAGCCACCGGCACGCTGGACAACGGCACCTTGTATGTGGTCAAGGGCTCCCAGGTCGACTTCAGCTGCCGCAGCAGTGCACAGCCCCCGCCCATGGTCGAGTGGTGGTTCCAAGCCCATTCCAGCCCTGAGTCCTTCGGAAGCAACCTGACAGTCACCTGCTTCACGCTGCTATTGATGTCGCAAAACCTTCAAGGGAACTACACCTGTCTGGCCACCAGCAAGCTGAGCGGGAGGCAGCGCAAGGTGATCACCGAGCTCCTGGTCTACTGTGCGTAAGAAGCACTCCCCTCCCCACCTCCTCCCCCTCCCCCTCTGAGGCACATGTGTGTCCATACTTCTACCTTCTGTCCTAAGAGGCATTGTCTGCTGCATGGGCCAAGCGGGGCCCTGCAACTCCCTTGCTACACACGTGCAGCTGTGGGTCACACAGCCAATCCCCACTTCTGGAAGCTTGCACCTAACCAGGGCTGCAGGAGTTTCCTTGGGAGCCACAGAGGAAGATGAATACTGAGCCTCATGTGTTCTTTTTTTTTTTGTCTTTTTGAGACAGAGTCTCACTATGCAACTCAAGCAAGCCTTGAGCTCACTTTGTAGCCCAGGCTGGTCTCGAACACACAACGATCCTCCTGCCTCAGCCTCCCGAGTGCTGGGATTACAGGCGTGCGCCACCACGCCCTGCTGTTCTTTTTTCATTTTTCAAAATAGAAATGAAACCAGGCATGATGGCGCACACCTGTAATCCCAGCACTCTGGGAGGCTGAGGCAGGAGGACGGCAAGTTTGAGGCCAGCCTGGGAAATTTAGCAAGACTGTGTCTCAAAATAATAAATAAAAAAGAGATGGGGTTTATAACTCAGGCTAAAGGCCCTGGGTTCAGCTCCCAGTACTGTGAAAAACAAAGTGAAGTAATATACAAGTCATTGGCATGTAGTATATTCATAATACTGTGCAACTGCTACCTCTATGTAGTATTTAGTTGGCTCAGAGTTGCGGAGTTTTCAGTCCGTGACCGATGATACCCATTGCTTCGGGCCTGTGGTGGACAGGACGTCGTGGTAGGAGTGAGTGGCATGGGAAGCCTGCTCATTCCATGGGCAGGTACAAAGCAGATACAGGAAGAGGGAGGGGCGAGGCTCCCACAGCCTCCTTCAAGGGCATGGCCCCATCCCTTGGTTCCTACCATCTTCTTATAGCACTGGGCTACACTAAGCCTTGCACTCAGTGGGCCTCTGGAGGACATTCCAGATGCAAATTACAGCAAATTTCAAAACGTTTTCATTGTCTCGAATGGAAACTCCCAGCTGATGCAGCAGTCACGCCCATCTTCTCCTCTCCCTGGCCCCTGACAAACAGACCTGTCTTCCACCGCTCTGGGTTGATCTGTTCTGGATATTAACTATGAATGGATCATAACCGTATCTGGCCTCCTGGGTCTGGCTTCTTTCATTTTGCATAGCATGTACAAGGGCTGCAGGAGAGTCCCTGCGAGCCACATTGTACCAAGTATCAGTATTTCATTTCTTTATGTGGCTGAGTAACAGTCCGCGGTATGGAGACGCCACCATTTTGGGTTTTCTTGTCTTTTTTGAGACAGGGTCTCAGTATGCAGTTCAAGCTGGTCTTGAGCTCACTTTGTAGCCCATGTTGCTGTCGAACTTGAAATGATCCTCCTGCCTCAGCCTCCTGAGTACTGGGATTGCAGGTGTGCGCCACCATGCCTGGCCGTCCACCATTTATTTATCCATTCATCCATCTGTGTCCCTGCTTTTCAGAGTGATGCTGTCCAGGAGTTTATTTTGGGGGTGGGGAAACACCAACCAAACACTCTTATATGCAAATATCTTGGCTAAGAACCACTGCAGAAATGCTGAGTGCGTTCATAATCCACGCTAATGAAAGGGAACATGGGAACAAGAAATGAGTGGGCAGGATAATGACACACTGCTTAATTTGTATGTTATTCAGAGCCTTTATAAGTCTCTGTGTTGTTTAACATAAATGACATTTATAGCACATAAAGTGACACGTGCTTGTAGGAAATGACAGATGAGCTTAGAGAAGAAAATAATCGTTCTAACCATTATTTTTGGTATTTTTCCAGTAACTTTTCTTGCTAATGTTACATATCTACCCATTCATATAAAATCCAAATTTCTTTCTTTCTTTTTTTGTAGTTTTTTTGAGACAAGATCTTTTTATGTAACCCAACTGGTATTACAGGCACGCTGTACCACACCTGGCCCAAATTTATTACTTGCTTGTTTTTGTGGAGACAGGGTCTCACTCTGTAGTCCAGATTGACCTCGAATTCACGGCAACACTCCTGCCTCAGTCTCCCGAGTGCTGCCAAATTTATTTCTGTTTGTATAACATAAAGTATACAAACATGTATAACACGTATACATATCACACTGGATGTGTTGGAGGTGGGATGCATGTCTGCCCCTCTGGTAACTCCATGTTCTTCATTTGCCCTTGGCCAGAGGACCAGCATTGTCTGGTAGAACTTCCGGTGATAACCGGAAGTGTCTTGTTCTGTGTGGTCTAACACAGCACCTGAGGGATTCCTGAGCACTGAAATGTGGGTAGTGTGTTGGAGGAACCACATTTGCAGTTTTCATTTAAACAGCCACACACAGCGGGAGAGAAATGAGAGGTAGATGGAGCCAATCCTAAGAGATTTAACATCCAGCAGAAGCCTGACACTTGTAGGCGCTCCTCTGTGCTAGGTTTGTGCTGGTGCTATTTCAAAGTAGACTTGCAGTGGAAGGCCCTTGAGCCCTGAGTTCTTTAACTATTAGTGCCGGCCTGGTGGCTGCTGATCTCTGAGTCTGTCCTTAAGCCCTTGTTCCCCTCTGGTTCCCTTCTGTCTCCCTCCCTTTGCAGCGCCCCCTCCGTCACCTCCGCAGTGCTCGGCAGAGATGTCTTTGGAGTCATCTGCACTGCAGCTCACCTGTCGCTGGGATGGGGGATACCCGGACCCTAACTTCCTGTGGACAGAGGAGCCAGGAGGGGCGATCTTGGGGAAGTCAAAGCTGGAAATGCTGAACCGGTCCCAGCTGCAGGACGGCAAGAAGTTCAAATGTGTCGGGAGCCACATCGTGGGGCCAGAGTCCGGAGCCAGCTGCGTGGTGCAGATCAGTGAGTCCGCCTCGCTTTGTCCTGGGTTGGGGTTCGCCTGCCTTCCTTTCTTCTGAGGGGATCCTTTGCAAGTAGTTCTAGGAAAGAAAAGCCAGTGCGTCAGAGTGAAGCGAATCCCTTCCCTTTCTTCCTTCCTTCCAAACTTCTAAGATGCCTCGCCAAGATTCTTGGTTTTAGCTGAGGCCCTTTTCACTTGGGAAGTACTGATTGAGCCCCTGCTGTGTACCAGCTACAGTTACTAGATACTGAGGATGGAGTGATGGAAAGGACAGACAGGGTTAATCCATTAATTATGTATTATTATTTAACAGATTACTTCCCAATTTGGTGGCTTAAAATAATAATGCTAGCTGGGTACAGTGGCACACTTCTGTAATCCCAGCGCTCAGGAAGCTGAGGCAGGAGGATCACCTTGAGCTCAAGGCCAGCCTGGGCTACATAGTGAGTTCAACACTGGTCTGAACTACATAGTATGACTCTGTCTCAAAAAAGAAAGTAGCTGGGACTACTACTGTGCACCACTGTGCCTGGCTTCGCAGCTCCCTATAAGTGCTGTACAGGTCCACATACATACATATAGGAGAACAGCTCATCTCACAATAAGCTGCCACGTTAGCCGGCCCAGCGTGTGAGGGCCACATATTTGTCCTCTTGTGGATCTCCAAGGGACCCCAGCTGTTTTGCAGTCACTTAGTCACTCTTGCCCACAGCAGCCCCGTAAGCTAAACTCTCTGAATAGGTGCCACGCTGGCCACATGTGGGTGACCAAGCTTCTTGAGGAGTGCGTGGTCCATTTGGCAGAAGTATAGTCATATACATGACACTTGTTTGGGGGCCGAGGAAGGGCTACGAGGGGGATTGTTTAAGGATAAGAGGGAGCACTTCCAAAATTTTGGCTTGGGAGCTCCAAAATAGATACGCAGGGACGAGGTTTGTTACTAGCGTTGGCTTCATGACCCCAGCGGAAACTAGAGTTAAGCAGGGAGAGGGAACGTGTGATTTGGCAGCGCGGAAGGAACCTAAAGGTCGATCCAGGAAGCAGGGCTCCCCTGTGAGTTTCCAAAGAAGACTCAGGATAGCAGGGAGGGTTCTCTTCTGTTCACCCAACCTTGGGAGAGAGAGGCAGTTAGCCTGGTCCCGTCTCCTCTGCCCGGCTCCTTTCCCTCTTCCCAGGACGCCAGCTGTGAAACCCTAGATTCTCCTTTGGAATAGCTGCCAAGGGGAACAGGTGTCACCGTCCCAGGCAGGATCCCAGTCTGCCGCTCTCTGTCCTTCAGATGCTGGAAGTATACACTTCATAAACCCCCCAAGACGAATCTGCTGCCCTGCCCAGAGGGTGTGCCTTTTGAGGGTAAGGCTTCTTGGGCAGTGGTAGCCCTCGTAGCTCTCTGTGTTCTGCTCAGCTCAGACCCCGAGAGCATCCAGAAGGAGGCAGCCCAGCCAACGCCTTGAGCTTAGCCCCAGATCATTCTGACGTCTGACCTCTAGAATGTAGGTGAATACGTTTAATTGTCTTAAGCCACTAAGTTTGTAGTAATTCATCACCTCAGCAATAGGAAACAAACACAGCTGCCCTGCTGTCCCCTGGAACACCTTGCTGGACGATGTGTCCATATTTTATATGATCCATGTGGTTATTTCCAGTGATGCTAGTAGTGTAGATATAAGATTGTGGATTATAAGGCTTGAGTGCTTGGGTTCTTGTTTTACCTAGAAAAACCAGTTTATTCTGCTTTGGTCAGAATTTTACCTGGTCTTAGCACTGGGAAAGCCCCACCTCTCAGGGACTTTGGGTAAAGTGGGACAGTTATTCACTCTAAAGCCTAGCTATATGCTTGTTTAGTTGTGTCAGTTTGAGCAAGTTGCTTAAGTTTCTGTGTGCCTCAGTTAACTCCCTATAAAGGAGGATAACAACAGGTTTGTTGTGTGAGAATGAATTGGGTTAGTACATGTAAAAGTACCTAGCACATAGTAAATGCTCAATAAATACTAGTTTTTATTTTGTAGGACCAGGTGTAGTATAGAAATTCCTAGAGTTGCTTCATCAGGAAGGAAATAATAGTCTTAAAGATCTCAGGTCATAGCTTTCATTTCCCTAAACATGTGTCTTTTTTTTTTTTTTTTTCTTTCTGATCACCAGGGATTCCTTTCCTTTTCTCTGAGCCAATGAAAACTTGCTTCGTGGGGGGCAATGTAACGCTCACCTGCCAGGTATCTGAAGCCAACCCCCCTGCTAAGATCCAGTGGCTGAGGAACCTGACCCAGCCCGAGGTGGTCATCCAGCCCGACAGCCACTATCTCATTGCCCAGAACGGCCAGAACTCCACCCTCACGATTCGCAACTGCTCCCAGGACCTGGATGAGGGCTACTACGTCTGCCGGGCTGAGAACCCGGTGGGGGTGAGGGAGGTGGACATCTGGCTGAGTGTGAAAGGTGAGTGAGAGAAAGGAGGAGGGGTGAGAGCTTCAGGGTCCCTGCAGCAGTGTGGGGGCAGCCTGGTGCCCCACACGGGCCATTGCCAACTGGTAGATTGCAAGTATCTGTGGCTTGATGAGGAGACTAGAAAATATTGCTGTCTGATCCTAAAAGCATTACCATTTGCATGGGAGACAAAAAATTATGTAGTATATCTTATACACTGAAGAATGTGTATGTAGTATCTGTGAGTTGGGATGTGTAATGGTAAAATGAACACACATACCTCTTTACCACTGAAGATACAGGACTGAGACTGATGAAGTGATCCGACAGGGTGGTGCGGCCAGATTTAGAAAACAACGTTAGAACCAAAAATGCTTCCATTTGAATTTCAGAAAAACAAACAATTGTTTTAAAGTATCAGTATGTCCCAGATAGTTCATAGAACATACTTATGCTAAAAAAAAATCATTGTTTGTCTGATACCTAAATTTCATCAGGCATTCTATATTTTACCTACAATCCTACATGGAGGCTCCTTCCCGATCTCATTCTGGTCCTCTCACAGAGATAACTACTACCCCAAGTTTCTTGTTTTAGTTTTTAAAAAAAGACTTTACAGTGTAAGTGTATGTGTAGTCAGCTCTCTGTGAACATACAAGTCCCTGAGATGCATAAGTGAAAGAAGGAAAGATTTATTTTGGCTTGTGGTTTCAGAGGGGTCAATCCATAATCCCTCAGCTCTGTCTTTGGGCCTTTGGTGAACATCAAGGACAAGGAGCCTATGGTGGGGCAAAGCTGCTTGTATCATAATGGCCAAGAAGCAAAGAGAGGAGGGGGCTGAGTCGCACTGTAACCTTCCAGGGCACACTCCCTATGACCTAACTTCTTCTAGCTCGGCCTTACCTCCTAATGTTTCCACTGCCTTCCAGTCCTGGGAACCAAGTCTTTAACACATGAACTTTTAGGGTGCATTTAAGATCTAAAGCACTATGATGAATGTGATCATTGTATCTACTTAAAAGGTACCAGTAAAATCTGATGGAAAAGAAAGATCTAAAACTGCAGCAGTACATACTTCTAAATACTATTTATTTTCATTTATTTCCAGTCATCATGATTACATATCACGTGAAACTATGGAGATAGTAGAGAGATCAGTGAGTGCCAGGGATTGTGGAAGATGAGGAGGTTAAACAGAAAGAGCACGGAAAATTTTCAGGGCAGTGAACATCCTCTGTATATGATAATGATGGTTACCTGCCAGTCATTATCCACTTGTCTAAACCTATAGAACGTAGGACCCCAGGGGTGACCTCTGATGTGAACTGTGACGTGTTAGTGTAGCTTCATGGATGGTGACAGATGCACTGGGGGATACTGACCATGACGGAGGCTGAGGCATGTGTTGCGGGGAGGTACAAGAACTCTACCTTCTGCTCAAGGTTGTTATGAAGCTAAAACTCCTCTACAAAAAAAAAAAAAAAAAATTGTTACCTACATACCCAGTGTTTTGTGACTTGTCTGTTCCACTCCATGTTTTTTGTTTCTGGGATTTATTCATGCCAGCGGGTGTCATTATACCTCATACCTCTTTACCGCTGTATAATTCTCCACTGTGTCATCTTTCCAAACTAAGGTATTCATTTTCCTGCTGATGGATGTTTGTGTTGCTTCCGATTTTTGTTGTTGTTGCTATTATGATAGACAGCGTTACTGTGAACATCTTTTACTGAGCTGCTTATGTATACCAGGTACCCAGACAAATCTTTCTCTAGGACAGGTACAAGAATTATGTAGCATGTGCATTTTAATCTTTATGAGATAATACTAAATTATTTTCATTCTAAATAGTATATAAGCGTGGTGATTTTTTGCCACCTGAGATATATAAGTGAAAGAAGGAAAGATTTATTTTGGCTCATTTTTATCAGCAGGTTTTGTAATTTTGTCCATCCAGTGTGTGAAAAAAGGAACCTCAGTGTGATTCTAGCCTCCCAGCATTTGGGAGGCTGAGGCAGGAGGATTACAGTGAGTTTGAGGCCAGCCTGGGCTACATAGTGAGTTCAAGGCCAGCCTGACCTCGCAAGACCTCGTCCCCTCTCCCCCCCAAAAAACTCCAAAAAACAAAAACAAAAGTCATTGTGGTTCTAAGTTGAGTTTCTTTGATTGCTGGCATGGTTTTGAACATCATTTCTTTCCTTTTTTTGAGACAGGGTTTCACTATGTAGTGCAGGCTGGCCAACTCATATGTGTAACCCAGACTGGCCTCAAACTCATGGTAGTCTTCCTGTCTCAGCCTCCTGAGTGCTGGGATTACAGGTGTGCACCACCACACCTGGTTTGAACATCATTCTTATGTTTATTTAGTATTTGTGGTTTTTTTCTTCTATATTTTTGTCTTAACATTTTCTGCTTCCCAGTAGATGTCTAGGAGTTCTTTAGAAATTCCTCATACTAATTCCTTGTTAGTTTTTACATATTACAAATACTACCCTCTATTAGTTTGTTGTCTTTTTCCACTTTGATTTCTTAAAACAAAAATTGCTCCTGATTAGCCGGATGTGGTATCACATACTTATAATCCCAGCATTTGGGAAGCTGAGGTAAGAGGATCACGAGCTCAAATCCTGTCTGGGCAGTTGAGCAAGACTCTATCTCAAAACACAAAACAAAACAAAAAACAAAATGGTTAGGGATGTAGCTCTAACAAAGTACAAAAATCCTGGGTTTGATACGTAGTACCACAGAAGAAATTGCTAAAGATATAAAAAATGCTTCTAAAAATGAACTGCATTACAATGAGAACGTCTATTCAAGGATACGAGTGGATGAGTTCAGGGCCAGCCTGAACTACCCTGCTTCAAACCAAACAAACAAACAACAGTAACAACAAAAATTCTCCTATTCCAGAGTCACAGACATTTTCTTCTAAGACTTTTAGTGTTTTGACTTTCATAGTTGTCTTTTATTAACATAGAATTGGTTTTTGTAAATGGCAAGAGGTAGGGGAAAGAAGTATAATTCTCTTTTCCTCCTCCAAATTTTGGTAACTGTCCCAGCACCATTTCTCAAATGATGTGTCCCTTGTGCACTCATCTGTCCTGTATCAAGTTTCTTTGTATATGTGGGCCTGCATGCATTATATTTGTTCTATTACTGCTCTTTTAACCATGGCACTAGTAACTCAGATTCTTACTTACCATGGTCTTAAAAACAATCTTGATAGTTGGGCATGGTAGCACATACCTGTAATCCCAGCACTCTGGGAGGCTGAGGCAGGAGGATCATAAATTTAAGCTCAGCCTGGGCAATTTAGTGACTTTATCAGACCCTGTCCTCCCTCAAAAAGTCCAAACCAAACCAAAACAAAAAAAAAGGAGCAAAGGCCCTGGATTTAATCTCCAGTAAATCAAGAGGCAAAAACAAAACAGTCTTGAAGCTGGGCATGGTGGCGCGTGCCTGTAATCCTAGACTTGGAAGGGTACTGAGGCAGGAGGATTCCAAATGTAAAGTCAGCCTGGGGTACAAGGTGAGATTAGGTTCAGTTTGAACTACATGTTGAGACCCTGTTTAAAAAAAAAAGAACAACAAATAGAATAGAACAGAACAACAACAGTGACAGAAGCCAGTCTGAAGGGATGTTTTGCTTGTTTTGGTGGCAAGGGCTGACCCCTGGACATCGCAGGTGCAAGGCAGTCACTCTCCCACTGAGCTACATCCCCAGCCCGGTGCAGAAATTTGAACTTCCCAGGGTTCTTTTACATCAGATACTTCATTTGATGCCCACAAACTTTCTGAAGTGACGAAATGAGCTACTTACTTGCATTATAGAAAGATCCTAGGTTTTGCTTAAGCCCATAAGACAAGAACTGGACTTGGCGGGGGTGGAGGGTTTGCTCTCCTAGTTGCGTGTGTTAGGTGCAAGACTCAGTGGTGTACTTTGTCTGTACAGAGCCTGTAAACATTGGTGGCATCGTGGGAACCATTGTCAGCCTCCTGCTGTTGGCACTGGCTATCATCTCAGGGCTTATGTTGTATTACAGTCCTGTATTCTGCTGGAAAGGTAAGGGCTTCTTGGATCCCTTTGTTTCTCATTTCAAGCTTCTTAAAAAGGTGTGAGTGGGGGAATGAGGCCAGTGATATATTCATTCCCACCATGCAGTCCCATCCTATAGAATCTTCATTCAGTCAAAACGTGCAATAAGATCTGGGTGTGGTGGTGCACTCAGGAGGCTGAGGCAGGAGGATCACCACGAGTTCGAGACCAGCCTGGGCTACCTAGTGAGTTTAAGGTCAGCCTGAATTAGAGTGATAGAGTGAGACCCTGTCTCAAAAAAAAAAAAAAAAAAAAAGCCATGGGATAAGGCACCTAAATAGGTCTCTGAATACTCTGTCACTTCTCATGTTGAGTCAGTTTTTCATTTGTTGATCTTTTGTAAATGTCAGCTTGATTAAAAATCTTTGTGAGCTGGGCATGGTGCCATGTACCTGTAATACCAGATGCTTGGGAGGATGAGGCAAGAGGATCTCAAAAGTTCAAGCCTACCCTAGGCAACTTACAAAAACACTGTCTCGAACTTGAAAAAATTTTAAAAGGGCTGAGGATGTAGCTCAGTGGTAGAATGCTCCTGGGTTTGATCCCCAGTACTGTGTTGGGAGGGGGATGGCATTTTGTGAGATTTTGGTGGTGTTGCTGGATATTAATTTTTCTTTTCCTTTCTTCTTTTAGTAAGAAGCACTTTCAGGTAAGTGTTTCCTAGACTTAAATAAAAGAAAACCCATTTTCATAACTTATCTTCACTGCTATTGTGTTTCCTGTCCTTAGAACAATGATAATCACTCCTGTCTTGTACCCACCATTGCCTGACACTGGTTCAGGAGCTTCTTTTTTTATCTTTTTGAAGCACGGTCTCCCTATGCAGTTCAGGCTGGCCTTAAGCTCACTTTTTGTAGCCCAGGCTGGCCTCGCACTCCCAACAACCCTCCTGCCTCAGCTTCCTGAGTGCTGGGATTACAAACTTGGTTCAGGAGCTTTTGAGGCTTTCTTATAAACCCTGTGTCACCTCATCCGGGTGGCATTTCCATTTTCCTGACAAGGAGATTGAGGCTCAGTGAAGCAATTTTTGCAAGTTCATTGCGGAAGTAGATGCAATTCCGCCTTTTGACCCAGGTCTGACTGAGTCCAAAGTCTGTATTCTTTTATAATGCTAAACCTCAGGGCTGGGCACTCTGTGGGCCTGTTACTGAAACATGAAGACAATATGTACATATTAAACCCAGTCATTCATACATATGTTTTATTGAATTTTCTACAAACAGCCAAAGGAAGAATAAATCATAGTCTTACAAAATGTTTTAGAAGGCTAGTCTGATCATGCCCAGAATTTCCCATCTCCAGAAGAAACCCCAGTAAGGGCAAAGTAGCCAAATGGAATTTATGTATTTTATTTTCTAAGGAGCTTCTCCATAAGAACAAAGAACTCAACTGTGTTCTTCCCTATGGACAACTAATTCCTCTTCACTCATTCCTAGTGCTGGGATATTTTTGTTTGGGGACCATCTTCCATGGGAAACCTCTATTGCCCTGTGTTTGAGGCGAACACCCTGTGGTTGAAAGAAACACAGCATTTCACACAAGAGATAGTAGTGTGTGGTTCTGTGGGAAAAGCCTTTAGATTCAGGGAACCTGGGTTCAAATGACATCTATGCCATTTCCGAATCTCGTGTCTGTGGGAAATTCCTGACCCTCTCTCTGGTTCTCGGGCCCTCACCTACTTCACACAGGGATGCTGGCAGGATAAAATAAGATGGTGGTTGAGCCATGGAACACCTTCTTTCTTCTCTAAGAAACATACCCTGGCTAGGTGGGCAAAGCTAGCAATAAGGGCAATTCAGTGCTAAGCCACTGGGCATGGACTCCAAATACAGTTGTAGTTCAGGGCTTTAGGTGAGGGAGAGGACTTTATTTAGGTCTTAAAGACGAGCAGCAGAGACTTCCTTAAATGGAACAGAAAAAACGTCATTCAGGAAAGAACACACCATGTATATGATGTAGATACAGATATAGTGGGGGGAACTGGAATGATGGATGCCTGGGACAACATGGCCACCTGCCCAAGGAACAGGGACAGGAGAACACAGCACATCCGGCATAAGATACCATTATTTCTAACAGTCTGTGGCTGTATCTCTTTGTGAGGTTACAGCCACACAGTCATCTTGTGACCTGACCACAGTGAATGCATGAAGAATTTTCCGTAGTACTAAAAGGGCTGCAAAGAATACAGTGTTGCCTTTGCAGTGAAGGTGATACTGGGTCGGGGGAGGAAAAAACCGCTTCTTATTTTCCCTCCTTTGGAAAATAGGGGACAAGACATGGGTGATGTCATGGTGTTGGTAGAGTCAGAGGAGGAAGAGGAAGATGAGCAGGAGGATGCTGCAGAAGAGGTGGAAGAGGAGGAAGAAGAGACTGAGAGAGAGGAACTGCCAAAACAAACAAAGAAGCACGGCCACATTCACAGAGTGACCGCGCTGGTGAACGGAAACCTAGAGCAGATGGGAAATGGGCTCCAAGACCTACGAGGTAAGCTCCTTTCCTGACAAACACTGCAATTCCTGCAGGGAGCATCCCAGCAGGAGGGCTCCAAGAGCTGAACTGAGTTTTTAAAGGCTGGGGAAGATACTGAACTCAAATTTAGTGTAGAATCTGAAAATTTCTATTAGACGCTTTCAACTCGGAAATCCAAAATGCTGACATGATGGTTAATGGTTACAAACTTTGTTTCATACATAATGTTATAAACATGTGGTATAAACTTACCTTCAGAACCCAGGCTTGATGGCGCAAGCCTGTAATTTCAGTACTCAGGAGGCTGAGGCAAGAGGATCATGAGTTCAAGGCCAGCCTGGGCTACACAGTAAGACCCTGTCTCAAAAAAAAAAAATTACCTTCAGGCTATGTGTATACAAGAGTATATGAAGCCTAAGTGGAGCTTATGTTTGGATGGGTCTGTCCCCAGGTTCTCTCATTGTGTATATGCAAATATTCCAAGCTCTGACATCCCAAACTTTTACGGTCCCAAGCATTTGGGGTGAAGGATACTTGACACATAAACTACCAATACTGGAAGGAAATTGATAAACACGGTCAAGGCCTGTGCTGGGACGGGCACAATATGGGCACTGTTCAACAGAAAAGACTGATTGTGTTGGTGTGCCGGGAACTTTATTTATAAGGCCAGATCGGATAGGTGAAAGCGTATGGGGAAAACCGAGACAGGAGCAAGATTTACCCAACTCTTTGAGATGACCCTACAAGAATGGTCCCAAGGAGGAGGGTGATTAACTGCCTGATGGCTGATATGTTTAAGAATTCCAGGGCTTTGCTGGGTGTGATGGTGCATGCCAGTAATCCCAGCACTCAGGAGGCTGAGGCAGCGGGGTCTCTGTGAGTTTGATGAGGCTAGCCTGGGCTACATAAGTTGAAGGCCAAGCTGAAGTACATAGTGAGACCCTGCCTCAAAAAAAAAAAAAAATTCCAGGACCTTAAAGGAAGATATGAACTGGGAAAGCATTGATCAGGAACAGCTCGTGGGAGAGGTGCATCTGAGGCAAATCTGTACGGACAGTTTGCTTAAGCAGAAAGGGGAGAGGGCATTCCAGGTGAGGGCAGGAGCCAGGAGAATAATGGGTAAGCACTGAGCATGTCCACAGGGTTTTGGCTAAGAGAACAGGCAAATGTGTATGCTGCCCCACCTGTACGCTGCCCCACCTTCTCCTTCTCCATGAAATTTCATTCTGTGGCTCAGTGGGAAGGAACCAGAATCACTGAGATGACTAAAATAGAGTTATACACTGTTAAGATCACTCAGAAACAGATGTGGTGGTACATACCTATAATCCCAGCACCCTGGGAGACTGAGGCAGGAGGATTGCAAGTTTGAGCCTGATGTGGGCAACTAAGTGACTTAGGCCTTCTTTCTCTAAAAAAAAAAAAAAAAAAAAAAAAGAAATTTATATATATGTAGATAGATAGATAGATAGATAGATAGATAGATATGTAGGTCAGCGTGAAGGCCCAGGGTTCAATCTCCAGTACTAGAAAAAAAAATCACTAGTTGGATCGGTTTTTCCCCTGAACAGATGACAGCAGTGAGCAGCAAAATGGCAGTGTCCGAGAAGAGGACAGGCCGGTGTGAAGAATAGGACTGCCCATCTTCGTCTTGTCTCTAAAGCTTGGGAAGCTCCACTGAAGATAAACTCTTCATCAGCTTTGCCTTGACTCACACCCCCGCCCAGGAGCTTGCATTAGCAACAGCTGGGGTCCCTCAGCAAACAAGAAAAACAAGCACACATCTTTCCTTCCATTTAAAAAAAAAAAAAAGTTTTGATTTGCTGTAAGTTTTCTCAGTAATGTCCAAAAGCTTCAGGAAGGAGTGGCGTGTGTGGGAAAGCAGCAGCTGGCATGTGAGGTGCCACTTTGCTGTGGCTGCTGGCGCTCCGCAGGCTGACTTAACGTGACAAGCACTGACGTGGACGGAGCACAGTTCGGGGAAGCACTTGGTCGCCATGCCCTTTGCCACTCTTTGCAGCCAGCTTGTCCCAGCACAAAAGGGAATACTGTGTCGGAAGACAGGAACTTCCTTTATCTCTGCCCAGGGAGCTTGCAACCGAGGAAGCGGGTGGATGGGAGCTCCCCGGGAAAGGTGAGGTGTCACCTACCAACGCAGGCCGGAGGAAGGGGTCTGGGGCAGGCCTCGGAGTCAGAAACATTAGGCCTGACTCCGGCCCCGACCTTTCCTTGTCCTGAGGGCTCGGGCATGTCACTTTACCGCTTGCGGAGCTCAGTTTGCTCGTGTGTGAAACCGGCAACGTCGGTCCTCCAGTTGCCTGGCTTGTGAGGATAAAATGAGGTCATTTTGGATGTAAAAGTGCCTCGGAGGGGCTCGGTAGAGGTGAGTGACCTTCTTTGCCTTCCCTAGCGGAAGAAAAAGAAAATGTTCACTGTAAGTTATTAGTGGCCAACCGTCCGTCTCTTTCATTCTTTACAGAATGGTTTCCGAGAGGGCATTGTCAGCTGCTCCTGGCCATTCTTCCCCTGGAGATGTAATTCTTTTCAAAAGCGGTAGAGGCTGATAAGATGAAATGTCTTTCATTATAACCTCACATTCTGCAGAGCTTTGTATTTATATAAAATTCTCCAGGGTGGGACACCTAGGATTCACTTTCCGCTTTCTCATTCTTCATGTCTCCTGTTGTTCCGAAAACAAAAAAGGCAGGAGAAACATTTCCTAACAGAATATCTGATGATAAGAACCCCTCCGATAAACTAGTCCATCTAGCCTCAGTTTATCTATCTGGGCAACAGGAACAGGGAAACATTTCTTTTCCACTTAAGGGTACTGTAAGTATGCACTGATTGAGAACACTAAGGTTCAAACGTAACATGTGCTGACTTTTGGTTGCTAATCTAACGCTTTTAGTAGATCCTTGAGTTTTTAAAAATTTTTTCCTAATTTCATCCAAATCGCTTAATGTCAGGGATCCTATAAGGGTGCAACAAATGTGTGCTAAGCATGACAATTTAACTTGAATTTGCACTCTCCCACTCCAATGGGCAAGACCCAGGGCTTAGTGGAGAGCTCCCCTTCGCCAGGGCTAGAGCCTGGGGCTCCTGAGAGAAGGAGCTGGTTATCTGCAGTAACCTGCTGCAGTGGTTGGGAAGGCCTGTTTTCCTGGATGAAGGGACTGAGTTGAGAAAATCACAACAAGTGTGCTCTGGCCCAGCTCAGGACACTGGGGAGTCCAGAGCCACTGCAATATTAACCCTCAGGGATAGCTGTGAACTGCAGTTCTCCTACTGGGCGAGGTTTTTTTGCTGCAATAGTACCTTATATACTGGGTTACTCTACCCAGTCTGTTAGTGTCATTTCAGACTGAGGTACTCAGGTTGCCTCTAACGTCCCCAGAGGCTGAGCTTGTCTCCCTTAGTCTTCCATGGCTAAATTTCTGAATTTGAGAGTCCTCTCTTCAAAGGCAACTAGATTTTACAGAGGAAGAGTAGGAACTGGAGGGGAAACCACTAGCTGGTAATAGAGATTATTTTGCAAAATCACTGGGATGCTTGCCACACCTTCCTTTTCTCTTGCACACATACCTAGTAGTGATGGGGGTATTTAAGGGTTTTTCCACTAGCAAATGGGAGCTTCAAGGGTTTGGTGCCAAATGCTACGAAGTCCGGACCAAGCCCGGACCTGTGATGGCTGTCATCCCAATGTGTATATTTATGTGCTGGGTCAATAAGGAGCCCAGGTATGGAAAATCTTCACATTTTAGGCATTTATGAAGAATTGGACACCCCTCCCTTTCCTTAACATGACCCATACCCAAATCCACAAACATGCTGACAGTGGGTTACAGCCTTTGCGTGGCAAAGTCCAAGTTGCTGTATTTTACTGTAAGAAAATCTTATCTGCATGTATTGTTAACTCAAAGACCATGAGATCTACTTATCAGGACCAGAAAGATAAACACTTCAGGGCTATTACAATTATACTGCATTTCCTCAAAACCCGGTAGACTCTCCAGAGGGAGCCCTGAAATTTTTGTGGCTTTGATTATTAGCTCTCTTCCTCACAGCACACACAGGACCTATAATAGCAGCAGGAAAACACATGATGGAAAATTTCCATAACCTGCACACTAAACCTGGAAAAGTCACCCTTGCTGGGTACAATTTATTATGACGCAATAAGAGCCAACCAATATTCTCACCATGGGACCGGCTAGAAACTGCTGCAAAGAAAAATAAGCAGATCACTGCATTATTTACATTTTAATATTTGGTGGAGAAAGGTTGGGAGAAGTGAGTTCCAAGGTTATGGATTTTTTTAAAGATTATTAAATAAAGTTATTTTTAAGTAAAGGTTTCAGTGATTTTGTTTTAGACTATTAGTACATGGAGAGATTTGGAAAGGAGTTCACCAAGAAAAGTATTTTCTTAAAGGTGGTTTTCTAATACTGGAAACAATATTGTTCTCCTTACCATTTTACTTTCTGCCACAACTTGTACAAGGGGCTTAGAAAGTGGCTCCATAGTAGAACACTTGCCTACCATGAGTGAAGCCTGTTGGTTCCATTTCTGGAATTAAAGAATAACCCACTAACACGAGGATCAGAAGACCAGGAGTTGGAGGAATACGGGAGATAAAGAATGGGGCAGGAAAAAATTAGGGAAGAGAAACATTGCCAGGAGCAGGGTATGAGGGTAAGTGCAGCCAGGTTTACCCAAACAGGAAAGGATGGTGGAAATTGTATGTTTCACTTCCGGAGAGTTTGGAAAGGTGAACGCAGCTCTTCTCTTGACCTATGGACAAGTGGTTCGTCTTTCCTCATGCCTGATGATGGGACGGCTTTGTTCTGGGATACTGTTTCGTGGGAAACCATTACTTTATTGCCGGATATTTGAGGGTGATTACCCTGACATCCATTGCCAGGCTTATTTCAGGAGACGGTGGTGTGGCACTGTGGGAAAAGCCTTTGGAATCAGGGGACCTGGGTTCAAATTACACCTGTGCCATTCTTGAAGAGACCAGGAAGTCAAAGATGAAATGAGAATCCAGGTGGAAGAGACTAAAACTGGGGCTGAGTACAAAAGTGGAGGATCAGAGAAAGGGGCAAACCAGGTCATCACAAAAGGAAACAACTACACATGGTGCTTGCCTGTGAGGCCAGCAGTCTGGGAGGCTGAGGCAGAACTGTGGAGGATCAGAGAAAGGGGCAAGCCAGGTCATCACAAAAGGAAACAAGGAACTACACATGGTGCTTGCCTGTGATGCCAGCACGCTGGGAGGCTGAGGCAGAACTGTGAGTTTCGGCCCAGACTATGCAATTTAGTGTCTTAGTGAGACCCTGTCTCAAGGGGAGGAGTGCTGGAAATGTAGCCCTGTGCGAAGGTCCTGGCTTCAATCCCCAGTACGGATGGGGATTGGGAGGATGTGGGCAAAGCCGGGAGCTGAGTAGCAGAAGGATATACACCAGGCTCCTTCAATGTGTGAGTGTGTGTGTGTGTGTGTGTGTGTGTGTGTGTGTGTGTGTGTGAGTGTGTGTGTGTTTGCGCGCGCGCGCGCGAAGGAGGCATTATTAGGGACTGCAATTAGCTGAGTCCATGGAGAAACTCCAAGGCCACCAATAACTACAGGGGACCAGGCAACTGCTAAAACCCTACCCTGGCTCCATAATACAGTACTACAAAGCCAACCACAGACCCAAACAGGACACAGGGGGCCTGAGAGGGGCAAGTGGAAAAAAGGGACCACCAGCCCCTCAGGGGGCTAGGAAGGGTGGGATGTCCGCAAGCCTAGAATCACAACCTTCTCTGCCAGCGGCCTTTCCCGCAGCCCTCCCTGCGCCAGTGCTCTCAGCGCCCCGCTTCCTTCCCCGCCACGCGGCCTTCAGGACCTCCCCCTGGAGTCCCTCTGCCCCGCGCCCCAACGCCACCCCACTTTTACGCGTGCCCTCTCGCCCCACGCTGCTACTACAAACCCGTTTCCCCTCCAGCCTGCTCCCCGTTGCTTGGTTTTCTCCCCGCGCTTTCGCCTCCAGGAGCCCCGCGTCCCCCCACCCGCTTTTACACACCCCCCGCCGCCATCTTCCCGCCGGCCACGCTCCTCACCCCGCCCTTCACCCAGTCGGCGACCCCCAACCCCCTTGGTGTCTAACCTGCCCGCCCCCGCTCTTCCACGCCCCCTGTCGGCCCTGAGCCCCGCTCCCTCCCCCCGTTTTAACCCTCTCAGTGCCCCCGCCCCGCTGTGTGCTGTCCGCGTTCGGAGCCCCCCTTCCATCCGGTCTGTCCCCAGCCCCCACGTTTTTCCCACAGTCCCGGTCTTCTCCTTCGTTGCACCCCGTTCTGGTCCCCTCTTCCCTAGTTTCTGTCAGCACCCCGCTTTTTCTCTCTCCCGGCTTTCGC